TGTGTGTGTGTACTCAACTTTATATCGCTCAAACAATCTCAAAGTTATAGAAATTCGTTACTGTTTCATACGTGATTCTGTTTCTGTTTTCATGGTTCATGTGCTGTTATATGTAAAGTTGTGTATGTGTGAGAGGCTCCGAGACAGTCAGAAAGAACATATCTATCTGATCTGTGTTTACTTTTGAGTTCGGAGGAATCCACACATCCATCCCAGGCTTAGGGTTTGTCAATGTTTAATGAGCTGCACTCTTGGTGCTGCTTTTGAAAAGATTTAAGAGCTGTGATCAGTGAAATATTTGTTTAAAAAAAAACACCAACACAGCAGTCACATGGTTGGGAGCACCACCATTGAACCGTTGATGTTCATGTTGAATTATAGTCCCACAGCTGGAATTAAAGGGGGATGTTAGTCTTAGCTCAGGGGTGTTGAAACTATTTTTAACAGGTGCCAGAATTTTTACATTACTTGTAGGTTGCTTCTCCAGGGATACTTAAGACATAAAAGATATAACTCTACACAAATACCACACATTTTGCTCAACCTTTTTAGTGCATAATAAATTGTTTTTGAATCTTAAATAGTGATGTTGTTAAACTAGGGTTTTCCTTTTTAGAAATATTTCTCAGAGCATTTCATGTGTTTGTACATTAGATTGAATGACATTTAAATCAAGTTTTGAATTTTTCTAGTATTCTACTATAGGTTAAATCTACATTTTACCTTAGAAGGATCTTCAATAGTGTGCTAGTAAAACACTGTGTAGTCAAAGCTCAGAAGTAACTAAATATGTTAGACAATATTAGAGAAATATTAGCTAGACAACAAAAACTTTCAGGTGCCAGAATTGGTCCCAGGGCCAGGCTTTGGACATACCTGTCACTTGTGATACAGAATAAACAACAAGGTTTATCAAAGACTAATCTGCAAATGAAAGCTGACCTTTCTTGTTTCCTAGCATAGACGTAAATATATCATTAACTGTCTTTTATTTACAAATCAAGTATTTTCACAGAAACCACTTTGGTAACAACTGTTCCACTTGACATTAAAAAAAACCCATCATGTCTATAAAGCAATAGAAGACTCACAAACACATGAAGGCTATCATCTAGGCACAGCTATATTACAATATGAAGGAAGTAAATGAACTGAGGCTCACCTTGCTGCGACTGGATGCTCCTCTGCAGTCTGGTGGCGCCAGAGCAGAGACTGACAGTGAGAACAGGTGATTTGCATTTGACAGGCACCATGTGCAATGCAAATGTCACGAGACCAACATGAAAAAAGAAAAAAAAGAGAGGAGTCAACAAAGCAAAGTGGCAGTGTGTGAGGAAAAGGAAAGAGAAAACAAGAAAAGGGGAAGTAAATTGAGTTTTCTGTCTAACAGATAAGGCACCTGATTATTATGAACTGTAACTCTTGTTCAGGAAGTGATTAAGTCCCCTTCCCCATCCAACACACCTAAATAACCATTGGCAACAATAACCTGGCAACCATGTGGAGCACGCAGGATGCTTGATCTACTGGGTTAAAGGGCCGACTGCAGGTACTTATGTTGTGTGCTTCGGGGCACTCAGGAAAGTAGCTGGTCATATTGTGACACCACCAGAGCATCAAGATACTGTCAAAGTCTCTGAAACAATGTAAAGTTGGTCACTAATTACAGACCAGAGATAAATGGATGGTCCAAGTTCTGGACAAAAACTACTACTTTAAACATGCAACGATTGAAAAATTATAGGTACATACAATAATTTGCAGTGAACTGTTTTGGCCTTTTAAGGCCACCCACTGGTTCACAGTAAGTACCGAGATATTGTATTACATAATGAACATATGACAAAATAAAAAAAATAATTGTTCTTTGCCCCTTGGAACTTTATTTAGACACAGAGAGAAGATAAATATTTGAAATCACCTAGCAACATAAGTTTTGGAAAATATGGGATGAAAAGTCATTAAGTACAAAAAAGATCCATGAAAAGAAGCAGCTTTATCACTATGAAAAGTAGAGATGTTTTACAAGAGAAAACAAATGTATTCATCTTTTTAATGCTCTAGCCAGTGGAGAGACAAGTTCGACAGTGTTATAATAAGAAGCTATGATTCAAAGCCAGACTGGATTCTGTTAAACATGCAACAATAAGCTCATGCAATTCTTCTGATTATTTTCAAGTGTCTAAAGCTCATGAAGCAGCAATGTGGTATTATCAAGCTGACATTTAGAAATCAGCTGGGGCTAAAAATACTTCTTTCTTAGTGTTTACATTAAAATTATTCTGACCTCGCCAAATTCCCCCCAATGACAGATAGCACACTCACTGGAAGCGTCATTTCTTCTCCTCTTTACTGTACCAGCTGCTGTGTCACATAGAAATATCCTTCAAAAACTATTTTCAAACATCCTGAGAGACTACCAATGGGCAGGAATTACCCATAACTTATCTGTGTCTCCAGTGTACAGGGCAACCCTGCAGCAGTATTTGTGTTTTGCAGGCAGCATACCATTCACAGGAAGCTGTGGAGACTCAATGACTTCTGGGAGTACAGTAGACGGAGGAGGACTCTCCAGTTTCTCTCCGTTGACAGAGTCTACATCTGATGCTTCTGTGAAACATTTGACTTCTGGTCTGGGGTCTGCCAGCGGTGTAGAACGTGGGTACTTAAAAGAGGAGAGAAAAAGAAAACTGATTCATTGTCTACCATATATTACACCTGTACTGTTATACAAACCATTCCTGACTGTTCAGAGACGAGACCAGGACACAGAGTCCAACCCACTTCATTGTGCTTCCATTAAGACTCAATTTAAGTCTCAGTATCAATGTCTAATAGAGATAGTGTCTGCCTCTGGCAACCTTAATAATGTAAACCATTTACCAAATCAAAATATCACAAGGTACTAGCCATTCTAATCTAATACAAATAAATACGATATACTGTAAACATTCATCATCACAATGATTTTTTTTCTTGACTGAAAAATGGTTAAAAGAAGATAAATATGAATCGAGTTGCAGCTATATATAATTCTAATTTCTTTTAATTACAATTTACATCACTCTCACTTATAGAAAACAAACAAAAAGCGATGTAGCTAGCTCTGTTGAACCACCAATTTTGTAATTTTTGAACAGGATCTCTCTTTTCAGATTAGGCAAATTTCTAGTTCAGTCTTTCATCACCTGCATAATATTAACTCAATTATACATGTCCTTATATTAAAGTGAGACAATTCAAACACTGATTAAAGCTGTAAGTCACAAAACATTACTTAGTGTCTCTATTTTAATCTTGAAGCAGCTCAGCCACTACAGCAAAAGACCAGTCTGAGTACTACCGCACATTTTGGGCAGCCGTAGTACCAGTTTGACATCAGTCAAATGTTTGTACTTGCAGCAGCATAATCAGATAGAGTAGGAATGGAATTCACAAAATAACAAAAGGTTAGTTCAGATCATAAGATGACATCTGTTGAATGAGAGTTGGGACACCTCACACATCTTCACAGAGAATTAATTGTGTGAAAAGGCATTGTGTGTGAAAATATAAATTAATGTATGAATCCTTTTTTATTTAAGCTTAGTGGTTTTGACAAAGTAAACAAAAATGTACAACATACCTGACATGTAAACTCTTCTGTAATCCTGGCCTCCAGAACATTCAGCTGCTCCTCAGTGTTGCTTGTTCGACCCAAAGCCTCCTGAACCTGGCATGTGATTGTCTCCATCCTCGTCTTAACCTGGATCACTCTCTGTTCGCTCTCTCTGATCAGTTCTGCAGTCCCCAGAGCTTTGGTGACCATTGCCTCCATCCTCTTCAGGGTTGACAAAAGTCCATCTGCTGACAGCTGAAGCTGCGTTTGCTCCTGCTGTGAAGCTATGCCGCCTGTGATCTCTGTGATTACCGCTGCATCCTTCTGACCTCTCACCTCAGTCCCTACAGATTTGTGAACGTCTTCCCTCTTAGTGTTGGTTCCTTTGTCAATGTAACAAATTTTGCTGCTGTTTTTCTGCTCTGTGCCACAGTCCAGTGCAGATCTAAGAGAGACTTGCAGGTGGTTGATCTGCTCCCTCATATCACTGATTGTCCTCTCTGCCCGCTGGAGCTTTTCTTGTGCCTCAGAGAGCTCCTGAAGTGACTTGGTTTCTTCGACTTTCTTCTTAACCTGTGCTACAGTCAAGGCCTTCCACCAGTTCAACACGGCCGCCTTCTTGGCATCCTGGGAGCCAGTCTGGCTTTGGATGTGCTCCTTCTCTGAGGCTCTCCACCGCTCCTCTACCTTTTCTGCTCTCTCCTCCCAAACATACTTCTGAAGCTCCAGCTCCTGCAGCCTGAAACCACCACCACAGCTTCATAAACATGTCTTTCACACAGTGTTATGTCTGCAGATACTAAGGGGTACTAAAACTGCACTTACGTCTGTTACAGTCCTACACACATCAGATAGTAACTTTCAGAGGTTGCATAACAAAGATGCCCATAAAATCTCAGAGTCAAAAGCAGATACCCATTTTATTGCAAGGAAGAAGCATCTAAGAACAGGGACTAACATCAAACAACCCTGGTCTGTTACCATAAGAGGAGAAAGGGAGGTAAAAATCTCACATACACATTGACAAGCTGCTGCTTGATGCTTGCCTGTTGCTGCTGGCAATAAGGAAAAGGTCTGTCCTGTCTTTCACCAGGCACAGAATCCTGTGTGTGACAGATGAAATACAAGCAAATGAGACACTTAGGTCCTAACATGTTACTGTGTGTAATATTTATAATGTGTTGATGGTTCATTCTCTCCTCACCCTCTCAAGGTACTTGTGCTGTAAAAGCCTGGCTATGTCTGTGTTCTTGATCCTGTGGACAATGCTCTGAATGTCATCACCGTGAGCTTGGATGGAGGAGAGGCTGATGTCATCCAGAGCTCTGTGATGCTGCTTCAAGTACAGAAAGCCAGGAGGTAATACAGTCTTCAAATACTATAATGTAACTTCACACATAGTAATACACATACAATCACTTTTTAACCCAGAGAAAGTGAGAGTTTCCTACTTGCCTGCATTTCTTGCATCTCACTTTGCAGGGAGCGGTGGTTCAGTGGATCTCTGCCATAAATACTCTGAGGGCCAATACGGTTTTGATCATACCTGTTGGTGAGCAGCAGTGTTACATCTTACTCATCCTAATATGGATTTATGTCCTTCTGTTTTGTGGCAACAGATCTGTGTAATACATGAAATGTGATTTGAAGTGAAGTGAATTTTCTATTCATTTTTTTCATTGGAAAGAAAGGGAATAATAAAAGATGTTACTGAAATTTTAAGCTTAAATGTAAACTTATAAAACAACCATGAGATCTAATGACAATCAAGTGAAATTTTTACCTTAGAATAACTTGGTGTGAATGCTCCTGTAATTTTGTCATCTCCGACTGCAGGTCCTGCAAGAATGTAACATGATATGTACATAAAAATATATATAACTAAATATGACAATGTCAGTTTCTGACTGCATGATTTACCTTTGTCACATTGAAAACACATTTTATTGATAATCATATTTTATGGTTTCACCTTGTTTCGATTATATAAAATATTGAACAAACAAGTAAATTTTCCACAAGATTGTTTCCTCTGCTTTATGAGAGAACATACCATAATCATGTTGTGATTCTCCATGTGGGAGTTCTTCATCTTATCCATAAGACAGTCTTTCTATGCAGAAAAACAAACAAAAAACCAACAACAATAAAGTCTGAACCAAATGGGAGATTCTTCTATTGGTCTGATAGATTTACCTTTGTGATTTCTCTGTCTCTCAGTGTCAACATCACAGTGGTTGCCTGAAGTTCGGCCTGTTTAGATCAAAGTTTTAGAACTTAAATGTTTTATTATAGGACATTTATTTTGCTAATTAAGAAGAATTGGCTTCTCCTACCCTTAATTCAGTATTAACTTTCTTTAATTTGTTGAGGGTCTCTTCAAAACATGTCCTTTCAAAGGTTAGTTTTTCATTCTGCATGAACATAAAAACCTTATTGTTATGCAAACATCAGGTTGTGAAAAGAAAGTGAACAATTGTACAAAAGTACATTTCAAAATTATTTTACCTTGTCTTCAAGCCTCCTGACTTGATTCTTGAGACATTCAAGTTCATTGTTCTGAAGACAAAATTGATTTATTATAGATGCACTATTAAAAAAACAACTAAATTCTCCAACAAAATATAGAGCAGTGAGTGTTGAATTTACTAGTTTTGTGCAGTTGGTCTGGGAACGAGCTGCCCTCTCCTGGGCCTCTTTAAACGCACAGCGTGTTTCCTCCAGTTCCTCTGTCAGGGACCTGACTCTCACTGCTGAGCGCTGAGCACTGCAGAAAAAGTGAAAGAAAATAATTCACAGGAGTTCCACTCCTGATGTTTATTTAGTAGCTTTGTCAAAAGGATTTGATTTTGTACGTTTGTAGTTTTCTTTAAATACAATGTAAGTATTCTTATAAACTATGAAATTTAAGCTTGTATTCACTGTTAGAAAGAAAAATATATTATATTGTTTTCAAGACTTCATAATTACTGACAGTGATTCTCACAACAATTTGGCTAATCAAACTCATAATTGCACTCACTGATTTACTGTCCAGAACATTCTGCCAGTGTAACAGACGGACACACAGATTTGGATGTTAAATGTTTCAAGTATTTTATTTCACATTAAATATTCTTCTGATGTTACACGAAAATGTGATAAAACACATTTAAACTTCAAATGTGAATCTATTGTCCCTCACCTGGCCACTTTGGCTCTCAGTTCAGTAACCTCCAGAGTGAGCTGCAGATTCACATCTTCACACTGAGCCACTGTCCTCAGCAGGCTGCTGTTCTGCTCACTCAGCTTGTGATGAGCGTGCTTCAGTTCAGCAACGACAGCAAAAAGGTCTTTTCCATCACTGAGCACAAACACAGAACAACATGGTGTAAAGAATGACAATGTGTTCCTTACAGCAGGTCAATACAAGCTGTGATTAAATGAGGGAAAGCACAAACCAGGAACACCGATGACTTTCTGAGGAGCCAGCTTTGCTTTGAGGACATGGGAAATCCAGCCCTGAGAGGAAAGGTTTGGAGCATTGCTTAAAAATGATTTAGCCATTTCTAGATATAACTAAACACAACAAAGACAACGTACCATTAACAAGCTCTTTACATGACTCTTGCAAAGATGCATGATTGATGTCAGCTTCGGCACTAAAACACAGAAATGCAATTTAAACAACAAACAGCAAAAACATCTGAAGGGTGATTCAATCATTAATTGTTTTTATGTCAAATTAGTTTATCACAGAGCCAGGAAAATCAACTAAAAGTGTTTTTATTTTCTCAATTAACCTCCTAATATTTAGTTAGAGTGCTTTTATCATCAGCTTAATTATCTTAGGTGGACTAGCTGGTCCTTGTTTATTTTTACTCAGAACTCAAAAAAGTTTGGATACCAACATCTAAACTAGGGGTGCCCAATAAGTAGATCCTGATCTACCAGTAGATCGCGAAGGGAGTACTGGTAGATCATGAGCAATTAAAATAAATTTTACAGTACACAAACATATACTGTATTAATATATATAGTACTGTATATATTTAATGTTTTCTATGAAGGTAGATCACATCAGTCTTGTAATTTGAATAGTAGCTTCCAAACCAAAATAATGTGCACACCCCTGATCTAGGCTGTTTAAAACCCTTTGTACACATATGCAAAAAAACATTTTTTTAAAGAACATTCATGCCTGAAAAACACAATCCAAAATTAAACTCCACCTGTCTTGGCTGCAATGCGAAATCCACTCTCGCATGGTGGTGTGGAAAGTCTCTCTGCTCACATGTGGGTCTTGACCATCTGGGTCCAGCCGCTGCTGCAGTGCAGCCAGTTTGTCCTGCCCTGAACTCTCAGCTGTCATGGTCTGGAGGTACTGGATGATGGTTGAGGACAAAACCTCACCTGGAGGCCAAAAAATATAAAAAACTAATCAACATGTTTTTATTTTTAACCCATTCTGTTCAGCAGACCATAATTCAGTGTACCTGAGCTGGAAGTGTCACATGTGTTATACATGATGTCAAGGAGTTCACGCTCAGAGAAACCAGTAGCACTGTCCCTTCTGTCCTCACAGACATCTTCCGTTTCACAGCCTGGTGACTCCCATCCTTCCCGCAGGAATAAACCATGTAGAACAAATAGTTTTCAGTAAAATTACAATTGATTCTTCGATAGAGATGTAAAATAACTGACGCACCATTGTTGTTGTCCGACATCATGCTTGTTGCTCCTAGATGTGAGAAAAGTCTCTTTCCTACATTACCTAAGATTTAGACATTAAAAACACTGTTTCCATTAATACCAAAAATGTAATAAGAGAAGAGAAAAAGAGAATATGTTTAAATTAGGAAAAATAATAATTGACCCCAACCCTTTGCCAATAGTGCTTAGTTTACAATATCAATGTTGCACTTACTTATTGGACATTGGACAATTTGTATTCATCTTCAAATAAATTCTGAATCCAGACTCAGGTTCTGTACATTTCTTCTTTTGGCCATGACCTAGAAGGAATAATGGCATCAAAATCAATTTTAGTTTTTAATTTAAGTTTTTAAAAAATTGTCAAATTGAGTTGAATTCAATCAGTCACAAAATTGTTACTTACTTTTTGTCTTTGTTCTTTTTCTGTTCTGTTTCTAAAACATAAAACACAAAAAATAAAAATATAATACAAAAAAAGAGGTTACATTGTGATGTATGTTTGTCTGTGTTCTTCTGATGTCCTCTGACGATAGCACAACAAATTTCCAAGATGGTCTTATGCGTTTTTGTCTCTTCTGTTTCACTTCAAAACCAGCTGACATCCAGAAGCCCTCCTCCCATCACCCCCGCCCACGACCCATCATTACCCACCTCGTCTGTGGCAATCATGAACTTAGTTCTTTTAGAATTTGAATTCACTGGTTTATTATACTATAATTATTTTTATATATTGAAAATAACTAGATAAAAATAATAATACAAGAATAACATGGAACTTAAACTTATATATATACTTACACTTATACATAATGCTTTTGATGAACCTTTCTATTTTTGATGAAAATGATTCAAACAGAAGCACACATTAACATATTTGGCAAGTGTGTGGATGCAGTAACCACTAATGTGGTTTTTTGTGGTATCAAAATGGGTTACTGCACCACGTGAGCAGAGGTAGTTTCTCTTTAAATTATTTTTTCACAGATGTTTGAGCCCCACATAAGAATATGTCCACAAAAACCCAAAACATAATCCCATTATTTTATAATGCCAGACATTACCCTGGTGTTATTAAAATGAGAATAAACACGTAATGATTAACATTTGTTGTTTTATAAATTTAAACTAACAGTGAAAAACCAAGTATTTCAGGATAATTCAGTTCAAAGAGAGAGTTTTACAAATGTGTCAATATTTTTGGCATAACAGACATTTTTTAAAAATATTTAGTTAATTAACTAGAGACAATTGTATCAGATTCTAACTGTAAATGTAATAATGTGCCTGTTGTTTTTTGTTTGCTTTTTTACAAAAAAATATATTCAATTTTTTAGTTTTTCCAGAGACCACAATACAACCACAAAACGCTACCTTTTCCTTTTTTATGTTAAGCTGCCTTTTCACAGTTTTCTGGTTTATTTTTTTCACCCGGAACAAGCTCTCAGATTTCTAAGTTTTGCAGCCGGACTCAAATGTGGTTGCACCTCAACGTCTATTTGTTTCCTATCGGAAGCATGAAGTAGCTACTAACGGATATCGGAAAATCGAACTGAGTTTTTTTTAAACAAATCTGGATTGAGAGAGTGTTGTCGTCTGTAAAGATGTCTCGAGGATCCATTGAAATCCCTCTGAGGGACACCGATGAGGTAAAACGTGCATTTAGTTTAGCATGAACCGACACTTACATATCCTAATGCTAGCATTAGCTTGAGTTAGTTCTTGATCCCAATATGTCGCTGGCGTTCGAACAGTTGTGATGCTAATATAGACGTACTTCGTTTACCTAGAAATGCATATGTGTACAAAAATATTTTTTTACGGTAACAGTAGCTGCTGCTCGTAGTGAGGTTGGTTGGTTAATGATCTATTGTTATTTGAGCTGGAAATAATTAATTTGCTGACGTTATTCTTCGAAAAATATCGACGGTTAAAAGTAATGGTCAAAGTAAAGCGAATTTCAAACGTATACACAGCATACACCATACATCACAACAGTTTTGCTTTTAAAAGTCACAGGTTAACAAAGCAAAATGGCAAAAAATAGTAATAACATTTATTTGCAAACTGAAATGTTAATAGAACTGTGCTATTGTTGCTACGAGTTTGATCTTTTTACTTAAACTCTATTTATCCAATCCTTGGATTGTCTCATGCATTGTTTGGACAGATGTTGTATTATGATTTACAATATTTAAACTTAATCTTACAGGTCATTGAGCTAGACTTTGACCAACTCCCAGAGGGTGATGAAGTCATCAGTATCCTGAAGCAGGAGCACACACAGCTGCACATATGGATCGCTTTGGCTGTAAGTTTGTTGTGGCTGTTGTTGTTCGTGTTACTATTGTTTCATTTGTTGACAGTGTTGACAAGTACAACACAATGGATTAGAGTAAAACATACAGAAAACATTAAATTGACCTTGTTGTTTGCAGCTGGAGTACTACAAGCAGGGCAAAACAGAAGATTTTGTCAAGCTCTTAGAAGCAGCTCGCATAGATGGAAACCTGGATTACAGGGACCATGAAAAAGACCAGATGACCTGTCTGGACACCTTGGCTGCTTACTATGTCCAGCAAGCACGTAAAGAGAAAAACAAAGATGCCAAGAAAGAGCTTATCACACAGGCCACCCTGCTGTACACTATGGCAGACAAGATCATCATGTATGATCAGGTTAGAAAAAAAATCCTTATTATTTATTAATAATCATAAGAAGTACAATGGCTTTCATGTTAATTATTTGAAATTAATGCAATATGGTATTGCCTCACTAAGAACCATTTGTTGGGAAGAGCCTGTTTCTGTTTGCTGGAGGGAGACAAGATGGACCAGGCTGATGCTCAGTTCCACTTTGTCCTTAATCAGTCCACCAACAACATCCCTGCTTTGTTAGGCAAGTTACACACTATAAAAAATGATTTGTCTTGACTTCACTTCATTCACCAAAGTACTCACAGCATCATTGTTCAACAGGTAAAGCCTGTATCTCCTTCAATAAAAAGGATTACAGAGGAGCTCTAGCATACTACAAAAAGGCTCTGCGCACAAACCCTGGATGCCCAGGTAAACAAGTTTCATGATATTAAATTAGAATGGAATTGAATCTGAATCTAATTTTAATACATCAAAAAAAAATATCTATATTACCAAAACATATAAACAAATTATAGGGGAAATATGGCGTTTGGCACTTTACTATACTCCATGAAAATATTTTTATCCAATCACAAATTATTTAATGACCATCTGTTAGGTCAAATTATTATTTAATTAGAAGACAAATATTTTTGACCTACCTATATATCAGTTTTAACAGTGTTTTTTTTTTTATTGGTTGAATGTATGGCTAAATCTCTCTTTTTCCTCTTACCAGCTGAGGTAAGACTGGGGATGGGTCATTGTTTTGTCAAACTGAACAAATTGGAAAAAGCTCGTCTGGCCTTTGGCCGTGCCCTGGAGCTTAATTCCAAATGTGTGGGAGCACTTGTTGGATTAGCAGTTTTGGAGCTCAACAACAAGGAAGCTGATTCCATCAAGAATGGTGTGCAGCTCCTGTCAAGAGCTTACACAATCGACCCAAGCAACCCCATGGTGCTGAATCACCTGGCTAACCATTTCTTCTTCAAAAAGGTAATCATTAGGATTTGTGTGATATTTCATATCTTAATTTTTACACCAACCACTTACTTAGCTGTCAAAATGCCTGTGGGATTTGTGTTTGCTATCAGGATTACAGTAAAGTGCAGCATCTGGCCCTTCATGCTTTTCACAACACTGAAGTTGAAGCCATGCAAGCTGAGAGCTGCTACCAGTTAGCACGCTCGTTCCACGTTCAGGTGAGGTCAAGCCTGACGATATGTAAAAGTTCTTTTTTCTTCTTCTATGAACCAATTGCAACTGTTTAATTGTGTTATTTTCTCTACAGTGCGATTACGATCAAGCCTTTCAGTATTACTACCAGGCCACTCAGTTTGCCTCAGCCACCTTTGTGTTGCCCTTCTTTGGGTTAGGACAAATGTACGTGTACAGAAGAGATAAGGAAAATGCAGCACAGTGTTTCGAGAAGGTTTTAAAGGCCTACCCAAACAACTATGAAACTATGAAAATCCTTGGGTCTCTCTATGCAACATCTGATGATCAGGAGAAGAGAGATATTGCGAAAGTACGTTGCCTCTTAGCACATCAGGTTAAAATAATCTCTGCAGAGATAATCTGGATTTATGTTACCTTTTTTTCATTTCAAGGGTCACCTAAAGAAGGTAACGGAGCAGTATCCAGATGATGTGGAGGCATGGATAGAGCTAGCTCAGATTTTGGAGCAGACTGACATCCAGGGAGCACTGTCTGCTTATGGCACAGCTACTCGCATCCTGCAGGAGAAGGTCCAGGCTGACGTTCCTCCTGAGATACTCAACAATCTAGGAGCGCTACATTTTAGACTGGGCAACCTGGGAGAAGCCAAGGTAACTAAATTATGAGACAGCATGATATTCAACAGGGCCACATTTGCATTTAATGACAACAATCTATGCAAGAAGCTATATTTAGCAGGAACAATGGTGCTATTTCAAAGCTGAGGTCATGTTTTTTCTCCCATAGAAATATTTCCTGGCATCTCTGGACCGGGCCAAGGCTGAAGGAGAGCACGATGAACATTACTACAATGCAATTTCTGTCACCACCTCCTACAATTTAGCTCGTCTGTATGAGGCCATGTGTGAATTCCACGAAGCTGAAAAACTCTACAAAAACATTCTCAGGGAGCATCCCAACTATGTGGATTGTAAGCAAAAGGGAAAAAACAAAATATGAGAGCATAAAAACCTTTCATTTGTACTGCATTATCACTAAAACATTTGGTTTGCAGGTTATTTGCGTCTTGGGGCAATGGCTCGTGATAAAGGGAACTTTTACGAAGCTTCAGATTGGTTCAAAGAAGCTCTGCAGATTAATCAGGTACATTGGTCTGTCTCTGTGGTAAATAATACAACATTGACATTGTCTGATGCAATGCTCACCTCTTGTGATATTGGTTCTGTATACGTGGTGCAGGATCATCCTGATGCCTGGTCCCTGATAGGAAACCTCCATTTGGCCAAACAGGAGTGGGGTCCAGGCCAAAAGAAGTTTGAGCGTATCCTGAAGCAGCCATCCACACAGAATGACACCTACTCCATGCTGGCTCTGGGTAATGTCTGGCTTCAAACATTGCACCAGCCAACAAGAGACAGAGAAAAGGTGGGTTATTTATGATGAAATTGCTGTATCTGATATGTCATGGATTTGAGATTAACAAGTGCTGCTCTGTAATAAATCCTCATATGTAATGGGAAAGTAAAAAAAAACAAAAAACTTTTTGCTTGGACAGGAAAAAAGACACCAGGATCGAGCATTGGCAATTTATAAACAAGTCCTGCGAAATGATGCTAAGAATCTCTACGCTGCCAACGGCATCGGTCTGCATCAACCCTAAAATCCTTGTTAAAGACAAATTTTATCCATTCCGTTACTTGTGTATGATCTCACTGTGCATATATTATTATGTCCAGGTGCGGTCCTGGCCCACAAAGGCTACTACAGAGAGGCCCGTGATGTTTTTGCACAGGTGAGGGAGGCCACGGCGGACATCAGTGATGTGTGGCTTAATCTGGCTCACATCTACGTTGAACAGAAACAGTACATCAGTGCCGTCCAAATGGTAAGGACATTAAATGTAATATTGTTTTAGTAATTGTTTATTTTGTTTTATAACTACTCATTATTTCTCTGCAGTATGAAAACTGCTTGAAGAAATTCTACAAATATCAAAACACTGAGGTGCTATTGTACCTCGCAAGGGCGCTTTTTAAATGTGGTAAACTACAAGAATGCAAGCAGATGCTACTGAAGGTAAAATGAGGAGAAGCATTCAAATAACATGTTTTTATTACTTTACAAGTGGCACAGAAAACTCTGTATTTCTGCTGTTTCCCAAAAAGGCTCGTCATGTGGCCCCTAATGACACAGTGCTGATGTTTAACGTGGCCCTGGTGCTTCAAAGATTGGCCACTCTAGTCCTGAAAGACGAGAAGAGCAACTTGAAGGCTGTGCTCAGTGCTGTTAAAGAGCTGGAACTGGCTCACAGGTAGAGAAACTAAATTTAATTTAGTCTCTTATGGGATAAACATTTATTTCTTTTTACTTCTTGGTGTCATTTTCTTTGTCCTCTTCAACAGGTACTTCAGCTACCTAAGCAAGGCTGGTGACAAGATGAGATTTGATCTTGCCTTAGCTGCATCAGAAGCAAGGTCAGTCTGAAAAATGTCTCTGTTTTAGAGAAGTTACTGCATCTTAAAAGTGTTGCAATTTTACTTCATACCCTATGTGATCATATCTGCAAATCAACTTATTGTCAGATATAAAAATGATACCAATGTTATTTAATGTCAGTTACAAATGGGTGTTACGAATGGGTTTTGTTATGTGATTGCAGGCAGTGTTCGGACTTGCTGAGTCAGGCTCAGTACCATGTAGCTAGAGCCAGAAAACAGGATGAGGAGGAGAAAGAACTTCGAGCAAAACAGGAGCAAGAGAGGGACTTGCTGCGTCAACAGCTGATGAAGGAGCAGGTAATTACACCCATGTCGTTTAGAATTTTGTTTTTGGTTTACTCTAAGAGCTTCCTAATCAGTCTTTTCATCCCGATGTGTTAATTGCAAATATTATTAGGAGGAAAAACGAACCAGAGAGGTTGAGGAGCAGAAGAAGCTTCTGGAGCAGAGAGCTTTGTACGTGGAGAAAACCAAGAACCTGCTCACATTCGTAGATGGGCCAAAGGAAATGGCCAAAGAAAAGAAGAAGGGAAGTGGGGGAAGTCGTGTAAGTTATACGACTCATTTCCAGAATTCAGAAGTACCTTGCTTGGTTGATAGTAGATGAGATCTTCTTGGTTGTTTTTTGTCTCAAGCGTAAGAAAGGAGGAGACATGGATGAGTTTGTCAATGATGACTCTGATGAGGATCTGCCAGTGAAAAAGAAGAAGAAAAGGAGTGGAAGTGGAAGTGAACAGGAAGAAGGTGAAGAAGGAGAGAAAAAGAAGAAGAGGAAAAAGAGGTAATGAATATGCTTCTGTTAACATTAAGAATGAACACTGAACATTGACCCCTAATGAAATGTTTCCTGTGTCTCACAGACCAGCCAAAGCTGGAGGTGATGACAGTGATGACGAAGATGGTGCATCCAGACCGAAGAAGCAGCGCAAATTCAAAGAGCGCAAAAGGATTGAAAAGGTGATGATGATATTCTGTTCATTTTTAGTCTTAATTGACAAAGAAGTTATCCGATCTGACTTTTTTCTTTTTGCTCTTATGTTTAGCCCAAACCAGAGCGTCTGCCACCATCTCTCAAAGGCAAGATCAAGTCAAAGGCCATCATCTCTTCTTCTGAATCATCTTCAGATGAGGATGGACTAAAAATAGCTGAAGACAGGTACATTGATTTCAGATCTATGATTTTACATCTGAGTGATTAAAAAAAAACAACCAACAACCTATGATATTTGCCATTTTCCACACAGACATCAAAAAGAAAGCGATTCAGGGTCTGATGATGAGGAAGGCAACAGAAAGCGCATTGCTTCTGACAGTGACTCAGACAGAGGGAGAAACCCCTCTGGCAGTGAGGCAGGCAGCCCTCAGCGCTCCGCAGGCTCCGACGATGACGAATCCGGCAGTGAGCGACCAGTGAAGAAGAGGAGGGTACAGAGGCAGCAATCTGACTCCGAGCAGTCCGACAATGAAAGCAAGAGAAGTCGGTCTGGATCAGAGGAATCACAGCCCGGTTCGCCTGTTGTGGCTTCAGACAGAGGATCTGAGCCAGGATCAGACAATGAGGTTTCTGCACGTGGCTCCGAACCTGAGGCCTCCAATAATGAGGTGTCAGACAGTGATTAAAATCTCCAGACTCCCCCCTTACAGACTGGTCACATGTGGACTTTACTTTCTATATATAAAACATACTACATACTGTCACTATATCATGAATAAACCTAGAGAAGTCATTTTGTTACAGCTCTTTTGTTTCTCACATCTTAGTACAAAATAATGTCCAAGCACAAATATTGTCTTGTTTGAAAATGATTTTTACAAGATGATTTGTGTGGTTTACTATGAAAAAGTGTACAATTTTTTTTTTATTGTCTTAGGCCTATAAGGCAGACAATATTATGGGTGTCTTTGAACTTCTGAATAAAATAAAGGACTTAATTTTTCTTCAATCTTTTTCTCTAATTTACTTGAATGTATGTACATAAAACTCACTAGTTTTTATATTTAGCAATAGTATTCTTTTTCATTGTTCTTCTCAGTTTTATACAGTATTGACACATTAAAGAAATTACTAATCTCATAGATACTTTATTTGTAATGCAGGGTCAAACGTACATTAATGCAAATATCTAAATAACAGCAGTAGGGTTTTAGTTAAGCAGATAACTTGGTTAAGACCAAACTTCAGTAGGTGGCAGAGTGGACAAAAAAGATTTAGGTGTCATTTTAAGTGGCATGAAATTAATAAAACACTGATTTAATGGGACTTTACACTTACTACTTTTTACTTTTACAATACAAATAGTGTCTGTTTGACCAAATACAGGAAAAGCATGTAAAAAGTAAGACTCAAATCATCCAAGAAATATATGAACATATCCCACAAACATACCAAACTTCAAAAACAGATGAAATCCTGCAGCTGGACAAGAAAACATGACAATATTACTGACTGTAGTTAGTCAGTTATATTTTGCCACTGGCAGTACGTAGAAATACTGTATGTCATATTGAGCTAAGCTAACTTTTCAAACCTGACAATAATCAACTTTGAATGCCTCAATAGTTACGAAATCTAAACAGTGTTACTATGGCTTGCAGCAAATGTCAGTGTCTGTATGTGTACAATGACAATAAAGGCAATTATTTATTCTTTACTTCTATGGGCTTCATTATATTTATGTAGTCCTATATTTTTTATTTTCTACTTTTTTTTTAACCTATCAATTTGAGTGTAAACATTTTCTCAACTACTCTGTATGCTAGAGTTTAAAATATAGGTAAGCGAACTGGGGTAAAAGTGTTGCTCTCTCTTACTAGCGGGGGAGGTATTTGGCCCTGAGTCCAAACTAGCTAGGTGCGCCGTAACAAACAGAATCCCGTCCATCATCAACCTTATAAATGTTTGTGTTAAAGTTACCTGTTAAGGAGAAACTGGGTGTAACATCTGTAACGTGTCACCTGCTGTAGTTTTTTCCACAATTCCACCACTCGAAAGTGGCATCGATTTCGTTGAGGCATTTGTTTTATCCAAAACGCCTTTTTGTTTTCCGGGAGGCTTTCTTCTATTTTCTTCCTCTAGTTGACTGTTTTAGAACTGCAAAACTAAGTTGAATTTGTGCCATTTTATCAGAGACTGAATTCCCTGCTCTGCGGGTCAGCGTGCTACTGAGTGCTTCACAGTGTAGCCGCTAATTAACACAGGTGTGATAGAATTCAGGAGGCGGGGCCTGCGCACTAAAAGAACTACATTACCAACCATCAGGATTCTGGGATGTTAGATCGATAGAGCCTTGTTTATGACCAAAAGAAAATGTAAAACATTTCAGCAGTCAATACTTGTACCTATGACAGATTATTGGGCCTAAATTCAACAGAACAAAATATGCTGAGTTTTTGGGGAGGCAAGAGAAAAGCAGCCAGTTTATCACAGTGGGAAGTGTGGAGAATCTTGTAAAGTTACACTTAACCTGTAGAACTGTGAATGTCCCGAGTTATTTCAAGGCGGTTCAAGTGTTAAATAACTGTGAGTTATTTCAAGGCGGTTCAAGTGTTACAGGCTCTGTTAAACAGGATATATAGAACAATCCAGAGCAAGGAGTTTGTTGTTAAACTTTATTCAAGTCTGATCTGTAGTTACAGTCACTTAAAATTTTCATTTTCACTCCAAAGGGATTAATGTGTACAGGTAGAGTACAATCTCAATTCCATGAAGATAAAAAGACACTTAAAAACTTGACAAATAGAGCAAACAGACTTATAAGTTCCACAAATGGTGGTGTGAACAGCTAGCGCAGAAAACTAAGCTTTGGCTGCCTTAGTATAGAAACTGAGCCATTCAAGTATAGTCTGAAATGCATCAGAGGTATGTCAATTTTAACTGATAAATTAAAAAATGCCAAGGCCACACCGATTTATTCCTAACAGCACTAAACCTTCAGACAGTAAAAAGAAGAGAAAAAAAAACATAACTGATAATTACACTTATTGTGGGGAAGTGATATCACACTGTGCAAATAAAAGAGGCCATTTCATAGTCATAACCAAGTTTAGATATTAGACAAAATGGTCTAGTTATTCTGCACAGGAAAGCCATTATGGAAAAAAAATCATGATAAATACAATAAACCATGAAAAGTGTTTTTTTAAACTATTGCAACAAGGTGTTGAGCAAAGTGCATCTAAAAACTGATCAGCAAATGCTGATAAAACACTGAAGAAAGAGCCCTTTTGTTACATTAGAGCCTTTTCTCTTTGTAAACAGTTTTAGCAGCACTTGGTGACTTGATAAAAACAGGTTTTGACTCTGGCACATTTCTTGCAAAACACTGCCAAACTTAAAACAAAACAAACAAAAAAAAAAAACTACTGATTGAAATGTATTAAAATGTCTTCGTGAGGAAACTAATAAAGAAAGGACCCCCTCCCCCAAAATGAACTAAAATGTCATGATGCTGGTTTGATCTGGCACAGTATTCCATAGAGATTGAGTTGTAACAGTGGTTGGGGGGAAACAATACAAAAAGGAAAGGAGGTAAGTAAGGAAGATAAAGACCACAAATACAAAACAGTAAAAAAAACTGCATTCTTAAAATACATGGCTGCTGTTTGTTCTTCAGTACTCATCATCCTCCGATTCCTCTTCTTCTGCAGTTTCCAGCCAAGTCAGCCATTGGTTCACCTGTTATAGTAATAAAATCTATCAGGCCAGAGCTAAAGGAACAGCAGCACGTGTACTTCTTGCAAGTATCACTTGTGTACCTGAAATAGTGCTTTCCCCTTTCCTGGATATTCTTGTGTGACATCTTCTTTCCATGACAAGAAGGCCTCTTCTTCAATTATTTCCATGTCATAAAGGTTAACAAAGTAGCGCAGTAACATGCCTAAAACAAGACAGTAAGCATTAGAATCTTTAACATCCACATACCAATGACAGCTCCCTGTCCTAGTACAACGGTGCTCCAGTCTTCTACCATTGAACATACCTTTGGGAAACCCTTTAGTGTTGCAGTGAACCTGCAGGGCATAGAGTGCAGCCACCTGAAGTTTCATGTAATCGTGAAGGAATTTCTGCATCACAGGCTTGAAGGACAGCAGCAGCTGCTTCTCCTCATCCAACTGTTCCTTGCTGGGTGCTGAAAACTGCTCCTCGTCATCATCTGGGTTGATCTTGTAAGAAATATACTGCAAGAAACTAAAAAAACAAAAACAAAATACAGATGGTTGAAAACCTTGCATCTAGGACTAAATGAGACAGTAGCTATGGACATGTTGAAACAACTAATAAAAAGAGGGTAAGGCAGAGTGTAGGACCATTTAGCTTCAGTAAGTGCCCTGCTGTACCTGGTGATCAGACTGTTGACAAAGCCTTTGTCAGTGTGGAGCTTAGCAGATATGTTGTCTTTGATCCACTTGTAGATGGACTGTGGAGATGGATCCACTTTGATCTCTTTCAGCAACTCTTTCTCCAGTTTCATCAGTGGAAACAAAAAGCTGAGACCCTTGCCCTCAAGAATTTCCAGCATCCTATCTTTGTTCTGGTCAATTTCTAAAGTACAAAAAAAAATCTCAGTATTCACATTGATTCTGGTTAGGCACACAACACAGGAAATGCACAGAATATCAATTTGGTGTGTTGGACATACCAGGCAGCATCTTTTGCATGTTGACTTTGCTCTGCTGGAACTGTTCGGTGAGCCATTCACGGTCCTTCAGTTTGACCATCTGCTGCAGGCACAGCAGGAAAAGAGGGAAATGCATACCATTCTCCAGCTGATGGGCCAGATCTGCAATGCTGCTTAAATCAGCAATTATGGCACGTGCTGCAAACTGTGCCAGGTAAGACTTGACAAGGGGGACTTCCTCCTCAATGTCAGGAGACTGTTCTAGGACACCTAAAAAGGACTGTTGAAGACCAAAATATAATTCAGAAATAATACTAAAAACAATGCAACCATCTGCATAGACACTCTTACAATACTGACCTGCATTATGTTTTCACCAGTGACGAGACCCTCGGTACAAAATGCATGGATCAGAATGCTTGCTTGTTCCCTGTTTTCATCTGAACGGCGAAGGGAGTGTGATACGATCTTGTTCAGCATCTCAGTCAAAAAGTACTGTGGAGGCTTCATGTCCTTGACAGCATTCACTGCCTCTTCCATGTCCTTGTTGCTTTGATAGTCTGTTATCAACGTCTCCTAAAAATAAAGTATGTCAGATATCTGTGCTGACCAATTACAAAAAACAAAACAAAAATCTCTTTTCTTATTCATCTACATAGTGGGAAACTTACTGTCATCTTGTGCAACTCTTCCTTTGTGGGTGGAGCTTTTTTAACAGACTTCAATGGTTTTTCCTGAATAGGTAGAGGATTGGTTTTTAAGCCCAGCTGTGGAGCCTACACAGAAAAAACAAATTAGGAGACTGTTTTCTGGAACTGTTATTGCCCATCTCTTGTTAGCAAAATTGTATTCAAACATTACCTGTCCTAGGGTTGAACCTTGGGCACTTGGTGGCATCATAGTCATTTGTGGCTGGAGCTTTGGAACCTGCTTTTTGTTTAGTATGAAGGATTGTGCTGGCCTCAGACTGATCTAAAAGACAGAATACGTATATCAAATGCTTGTACTTTCCCTGGCATTCAAAACACTTGCATATACGGAAAGAGTCCTACCTCATCAGCATTTAATTTTCCTTTCTTGGAAAATCGTGAAGCCATATCCTTGGACTGTGTTTGCCCTGAGTGATTCTGTTTGTGGTTGAAAACTGGTGAGCCCTGAAATTTCATATTAAACATCTTAGATCAACAACTTCAGTGGTCAAATGTAACAAATATCACCAACAATACCATTGAGAGGTAAATGATAATGGATGTAGCCATTTTACTGTACACTATATTTGACAAAGAGCTGCAGTCTTGTATATTGGTCTCACGTTACTTCTTAAACCATTTACAAAAAAACAAAAGTACACATTTTTATCCCATTTGTGTGCAACTAAGTCAAGACTAAGAGTCAAGTCTTCCATTATGCCATGTAGAATTTACATATTTCATCTCCCGATTTCCAATGAATAATGAGCATAACAAATTTGCTTTCAAAAACAGCAGAGAATCTCATTTTTAAAACCAATGTGGACTCTGTACACTCAAAAAACATAAAGAACATGTACCTGACTTTGTTTTACAAAAGGTTTGCTGCCTGCTTCAAACTGAGGCTGGATCGAACCATTGCCATTACTAATATGACCATTGAAGAGTGGGTTTGTTCGGTGACGCCCCATGGTTGGTGAATAGTGGTCCTGAATGACCCCTGGACCTGTACCAATACCACTTCCTGCAAAAAGAAAGCAATTTAAGGAAATTAACAGACTGGATGTAATGCATCAGGAAAATAGTGCAACTCCTCTTTTTATTTTCAAATGGATGACTTACCAGGCATTTGTCCAAACATATCAGCCAGCCCGCCAAGCATCTCTCTGTCAAACTTGATCCTGGTTGGCAGGAATGAAGGGTTGTCCATGAAGTAGTCATTCCTCATTGCATCATGTTGTGGTGGAATAAAAACACCTAAATCCTGCCAAGATAAAAAAAGGAAAAAAAAAAAAGAAAAGAAGCTTACTTTAATTAACAAGACCATTGAGTGATTGAGCAGTAAATTTTAATTAAGACCATTGAGTGATTGAGCAGTAAATAAATACGTGCAGAAAAGTATTTCCAAATGGGACGAACCTTTACTGCATCCTGCCGAACTTGATTAATCGTCTTTGGTCCATTATCAACGTACGCTTTGCGGGCTACCCAGGTGTTGGCTCGGAGCTCCACTGTGTTCTGCAACAGGAAACGGATCCTCGCAGGAAGGTCTTTGTTGTTCATCAAGGACCTCATTCGGCTGAAATATTGATCCATTAGAGACTGAAAGGAGGATTTCCCTTATTAGACAGATTCAAGAAATAAAAGATCATTCTTATGCTTTTGTTCTTTGACTTACCTTAGCTTTATCATGATCAAGTTTAGGTCCTACAGTTCTCATTATCTGACAGAGGCATTCCAGATCGTCACCCATATCCTTGATTTGGACTCTCTTCTTTTTCTCCAAAAGCTGAGTAGTACAATACTTTTAATACAACCCAACACTGTTGACAGAGTCATGGTCAGTCATAACCTTCAACAACACTTACTGTTTTGATGCACTTGTGAAGAATTGACTCATGAATAAGGTTGAGTTTGCCAAGTTCACCAATGAATTTGATGTTGCCCAGCATTTTGATCTTTGCAATAGCTCGCTGCTCCTCCTCTTCAGGGGTGAGAGGGCCATCTTGTTTGTCAAAGACTATGTTGAAAAACAGAATTAATTGAAAGTACATGACCAAGTACATCTGGAGCAGCTATAAATTTTAAATGTATCCAACTTACCTTCAACATTTTTGGCACGGTTTTCAAACTCATCTTGAAGCTTGGAAATTAAAAGCCGTCTGAATGTCTATAAGCACAATATGTTTATTATTATAAGATAAGACTAATAACAACAATAAACTTTCCTCTATAAAACAAACATACAGTATTTTGCTTTTGTATTGCTGGACTTTCTGTAGATGGTTCTTCAAAGTTTGGTGCTTCTTCAGCCAAGCGAAGACACAACTGAGCATATAACTGGCTGTACTTGGGCTCTTCGAGGGCTTTGTCAACAATCTACAGACAGAAACAGTGACAGATTATAGTTTCCCTGAAAAAGACCGGAGAGAGATCATGCACATTTCATAGTAATGCTCACCAATAAGATGGTTCCTTTCAAGACAAGCTTCGACTCCACACCAACATTGAGGAGCTCCAGACATAATTTGTCAAACTTCTCAGGAGTGAGTTTGTTAAGGATACTGCGGCCAAACATGATAGCAACATTTTAGCCATTACAAAATAATGTACATTAACCTGTTCCACGAGTTGTTCTGCTAATGCTTGACAATACCGTGATTTAATATTGGACTCACCCCCTCACTTTCCTGAAAGTTGCATCATTTTGCCCGTTGTCTTTGGAGGAGTTTGCATCTCGTCTAGTGCATCGAGAAGGTATCCATCTCTGAACGCCAGTACCTGGAGTTTTCCCCAGGAACTCGCTGACATTAACATAAAATATCCAAGGTCAGAATTGCACGTGTACAAAGATCCAAACAAAATGTATCAGTATCTGACCTACAGAATCTAAGAAAAAAATCCAAATCACCATCACATAAGGTGAACATTGTGACAGCCTATTCTTTTGATTGAGTGACTAACATTCTAAGCCCCAAAACAAAAGAAACCCAAGATGCACCCATTTTCTCAGTGTGTGCTAGCATAACCATGCAAGCAAGAAAACAAATAAGGCCAATAAAATGCCTGCCAAATTATTGTTATAGGGCAACCTTCCCAAGCATGACTAAATGGCGAAAATTAATAAAATAAATCACCTGTTGCCGACAGTCTTGGGATAGTGCTGAGGTGCACCCCCACCTCCTCCCCCTACACTGTGATGCCAACAAAAGGACAAAAGAAAAACTTTTAACTCTACGTGTAATAAAACTGTGACCCTTGGTCTAAATGTGAACTCTAGTGTATACACCCAGAATAACAGTGCGCAATACCTGAAACGAGAAGGACCCCCTGTTGCAACTACACTCTCCACTTTGGCGGCTTGGCAAATAATACCTGAAAAGAATGAATTCCTAGAAAAGGGGCTGGAGAGAAAGACCTGGAAGTTGCGGGAGACACAAAAACAAATAAAGAAACTGGTTAAAAGATAGGTGAAGTCTCGGGACACAATGGCTAAGCTGTGATCAAGAACACTGCTGTAGTTTAGTTGCCATATTGGAATTACTAGAGATTCTAGTTAATTACTCATCGAATCATTTTTTAGCCAGGCCAAGAAGCACATGAGCGCCAGCACGTGTCCGTACAAGTCTGTTTGAACCGGCATGTTGGCTTAGCACACCACGGTTAAACTCGCAAATCTGCGGCCTGTCTATTGCCCACTTTAACATTTCCAACGTGTCGACGACAAATATGCCAATTCGTCTTTCTTACCTGAAGCCAACACTGGTGATCAACTTAGATAACCTGACCTAAATACAACGTAACTTCTGAGAAAAACAGCCTAACAGGAAATAACAGCGAAGGGAGCGATTTCGAAACATGGCTCGCGAAACGTGTGCCTTTACCGGAACAAAAGCAACGCAATCAAAATTAAATACATGTTGAGGTCGTTTGGTTATATTACCGTTTATAATTTATACCGATGTCAGTTTGAAAAACACACGTTATATTCATTTAACTCTCAAATAAAAAAAACCAGAACAACCATGAAACCTATAGAGATTTCGAAAAAAATTACTAACCTGATAATTCACCTCTTAAGAACATGAAACAGTTTAAATCATCTAAGGAAAAACAGCTGATTTGATGAGTTCTTTGTTCAGACACCGGAAGTTGTCTGGAGAGGGGGGTTTAGTAGGCCACTGCTACCGGTGAGCTAACAGCTAACCGACTGTTAGAAATCTGTCTAACAAAAAGGACTTTAAACTTGAATCGTCCACTATACACGATAAAGATGTTTACACTTATTATCCTTAAGAATCAACCGTATACGTTGCTTAAGTAACAGTTAAAAGGAAAGTCACTAATGAAGCTACCGGTTAGCTTACGAGAAACAGTACATCATCTTACCTCTTACAAAAGGAACGTCAGCTTTACAGTTCGTTTGGTCAACCTTGAGGAAAAATAAAAATAAGACAATCGTCAACTAGGACGGTATAAATATAATCTTTCAAGTATTGTCTTTAACGACAGAAATCCGTCGACTTTGATGTGTCAATAAGCCGGTGCTGGTGAAGACAGACGTTCACTGATCTACTACGTCACCAGGAGCAGCAATTTGTATGGCGGCTGCGGCCTGCGTCACTCGGTCCTGCAGACGTCACGATAAACGTTGCACAATTTTGCTTGATATTTTACGATTTCATTGGGGACATGTATAAGAAATGTGGTATTATTGTTGTTATTATTATGGTTGTTATTATTATTATTATTAATAATAACACAAAGAGGAAATGCTAGGTTTGTCCCGAAAAGGATTATAGGGTGATTTGAATGATTTTATAATTAATATTATGCTTTATTGGGTCACGTAGACTAAAATGGTTTTACATTTATCTTAAACAGAACAAATCATCAGTATGTCACACTTCCTTAGACATGACACAACATTTAATTTTTTCATATTCTCAAAGCATAATTTTTGCTACTATATATATATTTACAAATGTTCTTTCTAATCTTTTGGTGAAAGAATGGCACAAAACCTATTTTAATCAATAAATATTTTATTGATTTTGTGATGTTAAAGGCCTTTATTTGAGAAACAATGATTTCTTGTTACATTTCAAGTATGCCACAAGAGAACAGAGCACTCTTAATGTGTTGAAAGTGGCATTAACCCTGTAAACACAAAAACGACCAACGTCAACCAGAAAATTAGTTAATATCTATTAAGTGCTCAACATATGTAGATATATATATACTGTATGTACCGTGTACACAATTATTAGGCAAGTGATAATTTTGACCATATCATCATTTTATCCATAATTCCGAACTCCAAGCTGTATAAACCTGAATGTTTATTGGATTTAATGCATATTAGGTTATGTGCATTTGTGTAACGAGGGAGGATGTGACCTAAAGAGATGAACACCCTATATCAAGGTGGGTATAATTATTAGGCAGATTCTTCTCCTTAGAAAAAAATGGCCAAAACAGAGATTTAACGGACTCTGAAAAGTCACAAATTGTAAAAAGTATTTCAGAGGGATGCAGCACTCTTGAAATATCTAAGAAATTGGGGCGTGATCACAGAACCATCAAATATTTTGTTGCAAATAGTCAACAGGGTTTCAAGAAATGTGTCAAGAAGAAAAGACGCAATTTACCGCTGAAGATTTGAGAATAATCAAACATGAAGCTAGCAGGAACCCATTATCCTCCAGTGCTGCCATATTCCACAACTGCAACCTACCTGGAGTGTCAAGAAGTACGAGGTATTCAGTTCTCAGAGACATGGCCAAGGTAAGAAAGGCTGAAACCCGACCACCTCTGAACAAGACACATAAGTTGAAACTGATGAGCAGTGGTACTTGAAAAAGTCTGCATCTTTCAGGAAGACTGCACTTGCGGCTGCACAAAAAATTCTGACCAGATCAAGAAACTGACCGACTCCGTGAATGGACGGCTTGCGACTGTTATCGAAAAGAAGGGTGGCTATATTGGTCGATGTTTGTTTTTTTTTTAATTTTAGGAAAATGTATTTGTAAATTTTTAGTTTGTTCATTATTTTCACTTTAACAGGTGAAAATAAACAAGTGAGATGGGAACAACTTTGTTTTTCATTTAGTTGCATAATAATTCTGCAAAACTTCACTTTTACTAGGTTTGAGGGTTTGTTAACATTTCGGATTGACCAAGAGCACTGTAGTTGCACAATAACAAAAGCGAATCCTCAAAAATACAACTTGCCTCATAATTGTGCACACAGTGTATATTAAGATGTACTAATTTCAATCAAATGGCTTAGTTCAACTCAATGAGGTTTTCCTGCTGCCCTCCAATGGAAATGCATTCATGCATACAACAATATTCAGCCTATTTTGACATTTACAGTCTACAGACAAGTATTATTTAGTAAAGTAAGTGACCTTTGGAGGCAGTTGGAAGATTGCTATTAAACAGGCTATTAAAATGGCCCAGAAGAAGAAACTATGCTATTCTTAAATATCACCTGACCTTTGTTCATACCAAACACCATTAAAGATAAAATGTCAGTCTGCTTCCCCTAATTCAGAGTACATGTTTATAGTCTGTGTTCGTTTGATTCAACCAGGACTTTCAGTTTCATGACCTCATTTTGTTTACAGAGATTTCGAAGAGGAAGGGCGTTACAGTTTCATAAAAAGTTCTGGCCTGGGTTCAGAATATGACACTTGTATTTATTGTTAACCATGACATGTCAGGGTGAGTCACTTCCTCCTACTGCAGCTCAGGTTACACTGTGCCAACCACTGAGCATGATAAGAGGAGAACTCACTGATATGATTTCAAGATAAAACACTGACACGTTACAGCTCTGTTTTTTGTCCTTCTGATTAACCGTAGAGTGTTTAAATATTCATATTTTTAAAACTTAACTCCAATGCTGATGATGGCCAAAATTTGTTTTGACAAGGCTGAATCCTGTTTACATTTGTAAAGGTGCTTTGTACTGGTCTTTATGTTAAATTATGTGAAAACAACAAAAATAAAAACAACATACCTCACATTTCATTGACATCTAAAGCATTGTTTCCCAAAGACTGGGTCGCAAGCCTCAGGTGGGTCGCAAAAGATTTTATTTGGGTCATCTCACATCATGTTTCCCAGGAGATTGACCTGGGTCACGAAGGTTTGTGACTTTTAAAATATGGGACCCCAGACAAAAAGTTTGGGAAACACTGATCTAAAGGATGTTTGCTTCATAGTGTTTACTTTTTTATTGTGAACTATAGGAGTGTCTTAGCCCACCACACAGGCTGCTTTTCCCCCTTGAGCCGTATCCATCATTAATCGTAAGCAAAGTGTAAGCAGTTGTCTGACAGTAAACACTCTGCCGCAAGTTAATTAAGCCCAGGGAGCCAATAAAGTCAGCAACGTCGAGGTTAGCGCTCAATGAAAAAGGTATCAGTCAGAGCTGGTGTGAATTTGTCATCTCAGATCGTACCACTCTGTTTCGGTCATCAAATGTATATCAGAACAACAGGCCTCATTGACTTTGTGCTCAGAATTTAAGACCATATTTAAATCGGATCAATAAGCTCTGTTTCATTATCTCTTCATATTTTTTATTGGTTAGGTGTTATTTCCCCAGCTGCCTTGTAGGCAAAACCCCAGTGGGGACACTAGAGGGTGTCATTAAATCGAACTTCTAATTAAAGGTGTTTCTGCAAGTTTCACTGAAGACAGATTATTCGTGAGGAAATCCTGTAGTGAGAACTTCTTGGGTTGTTACATTTACATAGAAACATTTTTTTTATTATAGTAGATGCAACACAACTGAACTTACGGCAGTTCTAATAACTTAATAACTATAACTAATAACTTAAATGGTCTTTGTGTTAGTACACCAAAAATAGTTTTCTAACACAAATAACAATATCATCAGGTAATAGTTAAGCCAGTATATATATACTGTATATACGTATATACTGTATATATATAAGTGGCGCTTTGGCCCAGCGACATCGTCTCTGTCATTGGTGTGGAACCCCAGGGTTCACCTCCTGGGCAAGTTCGAATCCCGATTAGGGCGGTTGGTACCTTCCAGTGGACTCACCACCCGCAGGAATGTTCGGGGAGTTTGGTACAGTGCAGTGTGATTTGGGTGGCGACTGCTGCCCCCGCGACCCGGTAACGGATAAGCAGATGAAAATGGATGAAAATGGATGGATGGATGGATGGATGTATATATATAAGAAAATCGGTTAACTTTTTATCCAGCAGATGGCGACACAGGGCTTTGTGCAAGCGTGTTATTTGTCACAGATCTGAGATTCGCTATTATTGAGTTAAATCTATTCAGTTCAATTCAATTCAATGTTATGTTCTGTATCTCTACTGTTATTATTATTTATTCAGTATTTCTGTATCTCTACTGTTATTATTATT